CCAGGCAGTTTCCAGAAGCACTGGAATTTTAATCACTTACTGGTGATTATCACAAGAAATAAAGGCAGGGTTTAAATAATGATTTTGTCTTAGCGATCACCCACTTTTTTCCTGTTTCTAACCACCCTTTCCCTGTTCTCCTCCTGTAGCATGTCCTCCCACTACATCGCACCAAAAGAAGGTAAGAACAGGTCTTGGCTGAAGCTCTGATCACATACAGCTCTATCACATCCACCTTCTTAGCACAGAATTCTTCTACTAATCTACTTAAAGTTACTATTTCATTATATTTCCAAAATGTGAATTGACACAAACCACTCTTATGATATACCAAAACCTGTCTGAGAAATTATCTGAGCAGACTGAAACTGTACAGTGAAGCTTTCAGGGATGGGAATGGGGCATTACGTTGGGTTTCTGAGGCACTGGTTCTAATAACAAATCTTTAGGATGAAGCTCTTTAAGACACTTTCTCCTTGGAAATAATGGTTCCTTCCCTCCCCATTGCAGGGCCTGTAACCACCCGCCAGATCCGCACAATCTTCGAGGAGGTGCAGGATGGGAAGGTGATCTCCTCCCGGGAGCAGATCACCCAGGCTGCCCACTGAGCCCTCAGAGCCCACTGAGCCTGGTTTGCTGCAAACCTCGCCTGGCACAGCAAAGCAGATCTGAGCTGACACGCTCTGGCCCTGTGTGCCATGAAAAGCACCTTCTCCCTCTCTCACCCCCCTCCTTCCCCTCCCTCACCCTTCTCTCGGCGCTGTGCCACACGCAGAAATCAAATAAAGCTTCTCCTCACACTCCTGCAAACCAGGCTCTGGTCCCGTTGTTCTCGGGCTGTCCTGCTCCTGCAGCCGTGGGACAAAGCTCCTCCCTGGAAGGACCAACATTCCCCATCCTTGGTACCCTGATGGTGGGCCCAGCACACCCAGACCTCTGAACACCTGAGACCTGGCGGCTCCAGGGAAGAGGGGATGGATGCTGGTGTGGAGGAGGTCTAGACAGGAACTGATCCCACAGGTGATGGGAGGTGAAACCTGTCAGGGTGTCTGCGTTTCACCTCGGGCTGGGCACTGAGAGGTTCAGGTTGGGCAAAGTGCTGCTCCCCCTCTGTGACACCAAGGGACAGCAGAGCCGAAGCTTTAACCCAGAGAGGCCAAGCAAGAATGTGAACAAAGCTCAGGTGATGCAGCCAGGACCCTGCAAACACCCCCCCAGCTCTGCCCCAGCAGCTGCCCCCCAGTCTGGATCCTGAGCTTTGGGAAGCTGCAGGTGGGGCAGGGATCTGCTGGCTGCTGCCCCTCCAGACAGGCAAACTCAGCTCAGTTTGATTCCTGCTTCCAAAGGTGCCGCTGAAGGGTGAGGAAAACAGTGATGGGAAGCAGTGGGGTATGGTCTGTGCAAGTAAAAAGATTAAAATTCTTCTGGGAGTTCTTCTGGCACTCCCCGGGGTGCCGGTGGCTGCTCCTGACACAGCAATTTCTGCTGCTGTCAGCTGGCCCAGCGTTCCTGGAAAGCCAGTTCAGACACATTCTTGGCTGGATTCTGTCACATTTATTACTCCATAAATCCAACTTCTAAATCAATGAGATGAATCAGAGCAATGCTACTGATTGTGAGTGAGAGCAGAGCTGGCCACACAGCTTTATGACCCATCTCCAGAAAGTCTGCCTGGAATTTAGGGGGAGATAAGACAGAACTCTTTTTTTTCCCCCCAGACATTGGAATGATGCCTGCAGTGCATCAGCTGGGTTGGAAGGGATCCCCACAGTCCTGCCCTGCAGCTCTGCCCAGCACCAAGGGCTGTGTCCCCCCTGTCCCCTTGGAGCAGACCCCTGTGATCCCTGTGGGTGGTCAGCTGCCCTGAGCACCCCCAGCATCCACCAAGCAGTGGAGACACGATTTGGTTTGAAGCTGAATTCTATCAATCAGCGAGCTCATTTCCACTCAGATTCCACCCAAGGACATGGAAACAACCCAGTGAGGCAGTGCTGGGGTCAGGAGAACACCCTTGTGGTGCATCATCGTGGATGATCCACGCATCAACAGCGGCACAATTCCCAGCTGGAGGCACTTCCAGCCCCAGCACCTCCACAGTCCTGCAGACTGCACTCCCTCTGCTCCCACAGCCTTGAAGGAGCAGCCCTGGGCAGCCTCGGGTCTCTCCCCAGGGAGATCCATAGCCTGGGGCCTCTCCCTGGGGGGATCCAAGCCCTGGGCTGGATAAAAGCAAGGCTGAGCCATCCAAGCTCAGCTGCCTGAGAAGGGTCAGGGCAGACACAGCCTGCAGTCAACCCTCCGGCTGCCACCCTTGCGACACAGAGCGAGGGGATGCTGAGGTGCCTCGCTGGAATTCACCCTTGCTTCATATTTTTCTCCTGTAAAAGTCTGGGCACACCCCTGTTCCTATAGAAACAACAAATAACACTTTTCTAACGAAATCCCCTGGTTTAATTACTACTACTGCACAGTGTGAGGGAGGTGTGAAAAACAGAAGTCGATTCTCTCCTGCCTTGAGCACTATTAATTAGCCCTGACCTCAGGAAACCCATCAAGGAGGGATCTGCAGGCTCATGCTGACAGGCAGCGGCAGTTTAAGGCATGTTTCAAAAACTGGGAATTTAGTCCACAAAGACAGTTTGACTTCTCAGGCTACACAGAGTTACTCTGACAGAAAAGACCACTTTAGAAAGAGACATTGATATGTGGGTTTTCAGCTCATTTGAAGGAACTTTCCTATGATAATGTGATTCCAGGACAAACTTTATAAACACATTTAAAGAGAGAAGTGGTTTTATCCAGGTAGCATCTGGGTCTGCTGATATATGAGTTTTGAGCCAGAACTTCACCTTGATTTTCCTCCTACGGAATTGTGTATTTAAACATCAATGTGCAACCACAAAGCTGTTATGCCACAGAACTGGAATTCTGATTTTGAAGTGTATTAAAGGTGGGCTCACAGCATGCACGTGCTCATGAACAGAGGCAGGATCTGTTTGAATACCCAGCCTTTTACTTCAAAGAGTGTGATACAAACAACATGCAGTCCTTGTGGTTGTGTTCAATGGGAGGTCATGGAAATAATGTCCTCGAGTGGTTAATGTTGTTTTCCACCTTAATTAACACTTCATGATTTTAATTGCTGCCCTGTGGCATTATCAAAGTATCACAGATATTTTGGGCAATGTGTATATTTTTATGACACAGCAGTTCAATGGCAAAGAGAAGATGAAAGAAAAGGCAATTTCAAGCACAGACAGAGCCACGTGTCACACGTGTGACACACAGAGTGACAGTGTGGCAGTGTGACAGTGACCTTGTGACACCCCCACTGCCCCGAGGGGCTTTGCTCAGGGCCAGGCTGAGGGTTTGGACTCACAGGGGGCTCTGCGCTGGTTTTGTCTGTGACGTTCCCCTTTCCCCTTGTCACCACTGCAATCGGGGAGGACAAACCACAGCATTGCCCGGGCGAAGATGAGGAAATAAAGATGAGGAGGAAGCACATTCCTTGGAGTGACACGTCCCGGCCGCCCCCACGCTGCTGCACCTTCTCTGCACACACCTGGGCAGGACGGGGGGAGTGGGCGGCGCTGGCCCCGCGCCCGCGCTCACGCGAGGGGTGGAACAGCCAGAGCCAACACGGCCGAGGCTCCGATCCTGCGGAGCTTCGAGTCCTACTGAAGATGGGCAACCACCTCTCCACAGCAGCCAACTCCCGATATTCCAAGGACACATCCCACTCCTGCACCCTCTCCAGCTTTCTGGAGAGGGAGGGGAGGGAGTCGTGCCCTTTGAGCTGCTCAGTAATGTACCTTTGTTCTTCTTTCCATTCCCTTTCCCCCCTCCTTTGGCAAATGATCTAAGGAAGAACTTGGCTGTTGGGAAGGGGCTGTTGGGGCCTGTCTGCGGAGACAGCCCAACAATCCACCGTGTGCACACATGAGCATTCCCTCCTCCTCCACACCCTGCATGACGAGCCAGGGACACTGGGATTAGTGGGCTCTGCCCGTGCCGTGGGTCAGCACGCAGTGTTGACAGCAGACCATGGCACTGCACTCAGGCTTGGAGTCCTTTTGCTCGTCATACACAACCACAGTCTCTCCTGAAGCTCTGTTAACACGGGAGCTGTCAGCTCCAAACTCACACTGCACTTGTCCTGCCTGGTCATGGAGTTGTCCCTCTCAGAAAACATCACCAGCGTTGGCTGCCGAGCTGTGCTGCTGCCACCTTTGTGCTCCTGTTCACAGGGCTTAGACACCAGGAGTTTGTTCCTTACATACCTCATCTACCTTATGCTATTCCGCATTTTTCCTGGAGCATCTCATAATGTCTACCTAGCAGCCATACCCTGCCCTTTCAGGATGGTTTGGTAGTGCTCATCCACAAAGAACACAAACCATCCTCTGCTAATGCCTTTTCACATTCCCCCACTCATGGGTGGTCTCTGAAGTAAAGACTCGAGCGAGCCCTGGAGCACGAATTCCCTTTTCATTGCTTTTTCACTACTGATCATCCCTCTCCCTGTGGATAAAAGAGCACACTTGTATTTCCAGGATCAGGAGCCAAGTTCCTTCTGGCACCACTGTACTCACGGGGCTGTGGAGGTGTCACGACACGGCTGCTGTCCCTGCAGGTGTGTGTGCAGCCCAAGCAGGGACAGGAAACTGTAGCTGGGATGAAAAGCCACAGTAAAAGAGATGCTGAGTTACTCCCTCAAACACTGCCTGTTCCAGAGCTAACAGTGCAAAAGGAATTAAATCGTAGCCCTGAGCAAGGAGCCTCCTCCTTTGAATCACACCTGATGATTTACTTGGAAACGGAAGAAGCATAAAGACGCCCTTTGTAAGAGAAAAACCTTCTAGTGGAGTATGACAAAAAGCATCAACAGAACAAAGGCAAAAATGACGATTCTGGAAGTTGGCTCAGGTTTTAGGAGTGATGAAAATCATCGGGAATGCAACAAAAAAAACCCTCCCGTGTGGCAACGCCTCCTGGCTGGGCTATAAAGGGCCCCGAGGCAGGGGAAGGAGCACTCACTGCTGAGCTGCAGAACTGCCTCTCTCTCCACCTCCAGCCTCCACCATGAGCACCACTGTCCGGCAATACTCCTCCTCCACCTCCCTCAAGGGATTTGGGAGCCTGGGGGGAGGCTCCAGCAGGCTTTCCTCCGTGCGTGTCGGGGGGGGAGGCTACAGGGCCCCCAGCGTGCACGGGGGCTCTGGCAGCTACTCCGTCTCTTCCCGCGTCGTCTCGGGGCTCGGAAGTGGCTTTGGGGGCAGCTACTGCAGCAGCGTAGGAGGGGCCCTCGGTGGGGGCTTTGGGGGCAGCTATGGGGCCGGCTTTGGGGCCGGCTTTGGGTCCGGCTTTGGAGGGGGCTTTGGAGGCGGCGATGGCATCCTGCCGGCGGGGGAGAAGGAGACGATGCAGAACCTCAACGACCGCCTGGCCGCCTACCTGGACAAGGTGCGAGCCCTGGAGGAGGCCAACACCGACCTGGAGGTCAAGATCAGGGAGTGGTACAAGAAGCAGGCCCCTGGTCCTGACCGGGACTACAGCCCCTACTACAGGACCATCGAGGAGCTCCGGAACAAGGTAGGACTGGGGATTAACGTGATGTCTTCATCAGAGTCACTTGTAAAAAGATGACCTTGTTCCTAAGAGCTGGAGGGAAGAGGATTAACAAACGGCCTGAGATGGAAAACAGAAAGAGCTTTGGAATAACAGTCACAATTTATGAACAGCAGATCATGAGGCACCAGGATGGGGTTTCCATCGACTGTTCCAGTGCAGGGAGAACGGTGGGGCAGGAAAGCAGGAGTCAGGCACTGATTCATGTTACCTGATGTACGTGCTGCCTTCCCTCATGCTGCTTGTGCCCCTGTAGGTATGTGCTCCCTATCAGGCTCCTGCTGGAGCTCAGCAGGCAGGGACACGTTATCTCTTGGCCCCTTCACTGTTGACTGATATGCAAATGGAGATGATAAGTCATTCTCACAAATATCCTACAAACCTAACCTTTTCTAACCTGTGAGGAGGCTCAAGGTGGAGGTTAAAGTAGAAAGGAACTGTCCTATGGAATGGTTGTTCTTTGGGAGTTGCAGACACAGACATGAGTGAAATCCAAGGGTTGGATCACCCTGGGCTGTGGTAGATGCTGAAATCAGGTGTGTGCCCTGCTCTAAAATGCAGCAGATGAAATCAGGGCCAAGCTCGTGTCTTTATCCTTAGGAGCTCCCTGGATGATTTTAGGCAAAAGTCCCTGATCCAAAGCACCAGAATGTGCCATCCCTCCCTGCTCTGCCCTCACTGCCCCCCTTCTGCCCTCATCACTCATCCCCAGTGAGCTCAGGTTCCACGGAAGGGATGAGGTGTGGGGTTGGGCAATGACATACCTGGTCTGTGATTAAATTCCAGGGAAATGGGGCAGGGTCAGCCCCTGGGGGAAGTCACATTCCTAAAATTTTTCTGTTCTTTAACTGTTCTCTTGGGCTTCACCCTTGGGGGGGAAGGGCCCTTTCCTGAAGCTCCTCTTCAGATTCCAGCTTGTCAGGTGTGCTCTGATGGAGCACAGGAACACAGGAGCTGTCTGTGGATTTGAGCAAAGAAGTGCTGGGTCTCACAGAAACCCTCTGCTCCTGATCCAGGGGGAGGCAGGCGCTTTCCTCCCGTCCCGCAGAACAGCTGAGAAATGACCGCATCAATATTCCTGGATTATTCCCTGGATATCCCCTGAAGGAGCAGAACTCAGTGAGAGCTTTTCATTAGCTCGTGGCTACAGAAATTCCTGCTCACTAAACGGCCAATCATTTTCATAATCCCAGAGCAAATATTTGCACCTCAGGTGTAATTATGAAAGCCAAACTACGCAGGCACAAGGCACTCCTTCCTTCCTTCCTCCCTCAACCCTTTTCTCCTTCTCAGACGGGCTCTTCCCATTCCCAAAGCCTGGAGTGCTGCCAGGGCTCAGCATGGTGTGAGCACCCGGAGATGCCACCTGGGCAGGGCCATGTGCCCATGGCAGCATCCTCACAGGACTGAATCTGATGGGAGATGGAGCTGAGCACCCCCGTCTCCCTCTTTGCAGAGCCCACCTGGAAGTCCAGCCCCACGTCAGGAGGCCCAGTGCTGACCCAGTCCCAGTCCTTCCCTGGATGGGACTGCTGCCAGCGGTTTAAAATGAGTTTTAACTCTTTTTCTTTCTTTTATCGCCCACCAGATTCTTTCTGCGACTGTTGAAAATGCCAACATCGTCCTGCAGATCGACAACGCCAGGCTGGCAGCAGACGACTTCCGAACCAAGTGAGTCCAGCGCCTCCAAGAGCTCTTGGGACAAGGGAGGAAAGGCCTGGCTGTTCAAGGCTGTTCCTTCTGCACCTGGGGTTGCTCCACCAGGCTCACTAGGAGTGGGACATTTGGGAATTGTGCATCTCTCCCTGGGCACAGCACTGACATTCCTGCACTGTGAGATCTGTGCGCAAACATTGAATTACAGATTCTTGGCAGAAAATGCCAAGCTGGGGAAGGAAAAGACAAGAATAATCCTGTATGAGGTGGGTGTTTGCAGCTGTGTGTGTGCCCCCAGGTTTGAGTCGGAGCAGGCCCTGCGCCTGAGCGTGGAGGCCGATATCAACGGGCTGCGCCGCGTCCTGGACGAGCTGACCCTGTCCAGAGCCGACCTGGAGATGCAGATTGAGAACCTGAAGGAGGAACTGGCTTATCTGAAGAAGAATCACGAGGAGGTGAGCACAGAACCAGGCTCAAACTGGGACATACAAATATGTCTTGTGCACCAGGTCAGGTCAAACACGCAGGAGTCTCTGCCATTAGGAATGTCAGGAGACACCTGAGGAGGAAGGGGGGGAAATAATCCCTTCAGACAGGACCTCCAGGAGGTCTGTGGGGTGCATATGCTGGGTGCAAATAAGAAATTTCTCAGGATGGAAATACACCTTGTCACTGTGAGGTGTATCACGTGTCTCTTCTGTGCCAGGAAATGAGTGCCCTGCGTGGGCAGGTGGGTGGGGAGATCAGCGTGGAGATGGACGCTGCCCCTGGAATCGACCTGACCAAGATCCTGGCGGAGATGCGGGAGCAGTACGAGAGCCTGGCGGAGAAGAACCGCAGGGACGCCGAGCAGTGGTTCTTCAGCAAGGTGAGGGGCCGGGGGGGAGCAGCAGGCACGGGGCCGGGGCTGTGCCCACCACCAGGGCTCTGAGGACACTGCTGGGCCTCCTTGCAGACGGAAGAGCTGAACCGGGAGGTGGCCATCAACACGGAGCAGCTGCAGAGCGGCAAGACGGAGATCACGGAGCTGCGGCGCACGATCCAGAGCCTGGAGATCGACCTGCAGTCCCAGCTCAGCACGGTACAGAGGGCGGGGAGCACCCAGGGACACGGGCCCGGGGCCGCAGGGCTGTGCCCCCTTGGCCGCCCCTGCGCCCCTGACCCACCCCCGTGCCCGTCCCGCAGAAAGCGGCGCTGGAGGGCACCCTGGCCGACACGGAAGCGCGCTACGGCACCCAGCTGGCCCAGCTGCAGGCGCTGATCACCAGCGTGGAGGAGCAGCTGGCCGAGCTGCGCTGCGACATGGAGCGCCAGAACCACGAGTACAGGGTCCTGCTGGACGTCAAGTGCCGCCTGGAGCAGGAGATCGCCACGTACCGCCGGCTCCTGGAGGGAGAGGACGCCCAGTGAGTGAGGGGCTGCGCGGGGAGGGCGGCGGGAGGATACGGGGCGTAGACACCACATGTGCTGCCCGGAGACTCGGTCCAGCCGCAGCTTTCAGGGCTGGGCTCTATATTCACACCAGCCGTGGATGCCCAGTGGCTCTGTCCCAGTTTCTGCCTGGACTGGGATGCTGCACCAGGCCCCCTTCCCTGCTGGAAGGGGCCGTGGTCCCTCTCCTCCCCAGAAGAGACCAAGTGTAGCAGCACTTTTAGCAACCTCCATGAGCCTTCTCTGTTTTCCTCCTGCCTGAACACAGAGCCTGTATAACAGCAGCAACAGATGTTTGTCCCTAACTTCTCTTTGGTCTTGTGCTTCTCCTGCAGCATCTCCTCCCAGTACTCCTCCGCCATATCCCCACACTCTGGCAGAGATGGTAAGAACCTCCCATCTTCTGAAGAATGTGCAATATCTGATGAAGTGTTAAGAATTTCTCTCCCTCCTGCCATGAATAACTGTCCCCCTTTCCCCCTGCAGTGGTGACATCGTCCCGCCAGGTCCGCACGATCGTGGAGGAGGTGCAGGATGGGAAGGTGGTCTCCTCCCGGGAGCAGGTTGCGCTCACCACTCGCTAGGAGGGTCAGTAGGACCCTCGATCCCAGGCTCAGGAGAGCAGTGAGCTGAGCCAAGCACTGCCTGAGGCCCTGGGTTGTGTCCCAGAAAGCTTCCTCCACCTCCTCCTCCTGCCTGTATTACCCTCATTCCATGCAGGTGCCTCTGGACACACTTAATAAAGCTTTTTCTCCTCGCTCGTGCAACTGCAGACTTGTCTATCACTGATACAAGATCCCTCAAAGCCTCAGGGTTGTGTGTTCATGCCAGGGAAAGTCCTAAGAAACCACAAGAAGAAGCCAGTGAGAGGAGGGGAATGGCGGGAGATGGGTTTCACCTGGAGGGACGTGGGTTCCACCTGGGGCAAAGATAATTGGAGACAGCTTTTTCTAATGAACTCATTGCTTGTAAATACACGGGACTGGCTGAGACATAAATGAGATTAGTGATAGAAATTGAAGGCAATTATGGACAGATGAGGTCTGAGGTCAATGTGCCACGCGACTGATAATTAAAACCGACAAAATAAAGCTCAGTTCTCTTGGGATCATAAAAAATCACTTTCTCCTGTAAGCTGAACTTGAATGACTTTGGCAAGACTGCTGCTGTCAGATGTTCCATCTGACACGAGCCCAGTGTCAGGCTGGTTGGCAAACCTCATCCCCACTTGCCTGCTGCCTCTTTTGACTGTCTTTAAATCACACTATTGGGCACGGAAACCTTATACAGAGCTTTTTATGCTGCCCCAGGGCTGCACTTAACAGGATCTAAAGTAACCATTGCTTAATCCGCACAGGGATGAGTAGCAATAATTTTTATCACTATCATGTCTAGTAGATCACTGCTAAAATCCTTCCTGAAACACAGGAGGCAGAAACAGTGCCTGAGGCCAAGCTGCCACTCAGGATTAGTGACACAGCTGGGCAGAAGGTACCGGGTGTGTCTGTGGCCACTTGCTTCCTGGAGAGCCGAAAGCGTGATGGAATCACTCAGATCCAGCTTCACTCTAGCCAGTGGAAGCTGGGAGCCCTGTCCAGTCTTGGACCACGGGCTCATGTTATCCCCCACCTCAAGGATACAGACCTGGGGCTCAGACCAAAGGGAAAGGGACCAGTCTGCAGTAAATCAGCTTCCACAATGCATAAGAGGCTCCAGTGGCTGAGGCTCAGCTCACTCATCCCTTGGGTGATTCACTGTCCCTCAGCCTCCCCACAGCACTGAGGTCCCGCTGAGCACTCACCACACACTCCCCGGGCCCAGCAGGTTGGGAAAGAGCTGGTGATGTCACACTGGGCATGACAGGACAGGCAGAGGAGATCGAAGAAGTGGGGAGCCTGCCAGGGCTTTCCAGAAAAGGGAGCGTGAGATGTTATCGTTCTGTATCATCGTTCAGCAATTACAGAGAGGGCAGGAAACGAGTGGAGCGCAGAGTTCATGGACTGTGTCGTGCTTCTCCCTTTCTGGAATAACAGACCTTCCTTGGAGAAATAGGAAGGCTCCCAGGCTGACTGAGCCAGAGCTATGTCAAAAATTAAAACTAGATCAAGCAAAATGTACCTGAGCCTCCAGCTGTCTCAGGGTCTGCGGCAGCGGGCAAGGCTGCAGGCAGAAATCCTGAGAACACTGCTAATGTGCCGTGCTTATTTTCCATCAGAACAGAGTTATTTCAGCTTTAAATGGCAGCTTTTTAACTCTTGAGCCATCTGCAGACTGCCCCAAGTGTATGAATAGAGAAAGGCTTTCTGCAAACCACAAATCTAACTGATGAAATACAAGTAGGAGGGTAAAAGAAGATGTCAGTCCAGGAGTACCTGCCTCCACGGGCAGCACAGGGAGGGACGGCTCCTTCTGCAGCCAAGAGGGCACAAGGGAGAGATTGATCCAGCAGCACATTTGGTTATCTCTGATTGTCACCCTGTGCTGAGATATTTACATCTATCAGCAGGAACTGCTTGAAGTGAAATCCTGAGGAGAGCTGGGGGAACAGCTGGGAGAGCTGATGGAGAGCCCAGATTTGTAATCAGTGGATTCAGTTCTCCTGGGGTTTTCCTTATTCATCAACATATATTTGCATCAGTGAAAAAGGCCTTAATTCTGCACACAGCTCAGTGTAACACTTTTATCACAGGCGAGAGCGAAGTCCAAGCTCAGTACAAGTGATCCCTGTAGTGCTCCAAAGAAGGAAAATACCACAGAACTATTGGGCAATTTATTGCCTGTTATTACTCTTTGATACACACAGTTTGTGTCTGTGAAACATGGGCAAATTGTGACTCCAAGAGAAGGACAAATACTGGTTTTGGAGAGCATTGCTCAGATTTTCTGGAAGCTCCAAGCACAAGAAGAAAAGCCTCATTAGGATTCAGCCAGGAGTTACAGAAGCAAGTCCTCAGCAAATGATGGTGAAACTTTAATGGACAACAAAATGAAAAAAGGGAAAATCAAGAATGTCCTTGAAAGGTATTTCATGATGAGACACATCAGAGAGAAATCTGTGCGATGTGCCTGTGTCAAACTTAATATAAAACAGCAAGAACACTGATAATAAATAATACTTACACGAGAATAGTCTTTCCAATCTTTGAAGCCCCTTGTGCTCCTCAGAGAGTTATTTTTACAATGCCCTCGAGGAGGGGGATTACTGTTATTATGGTTTCCATTCTACAAAGCATGAAATTGAGACTGGGAGGAGCTGAGGGAACTGCCTGGAGTGACTTGCAAAGCCGGGATCAGACCCCGGAGCACCCGGTGTCCTCAGAGGGGTGGAGATACAGCCAATGGCAGCTGGCAGAAAGTGGTGTGACAGGTACATCACCAGCCAGATAAGCAAATACTTTGTAAATACTTTGTATGGATTTTCCATAGCGACACACGGAAATTCAGCTGACAGTGGGCAGAGAGCTCTCCCTGCCCGGGCTGGAGCCCTGAGAGACGCCCCAGCTGGCGGGGGCTGGACTGGGCAGTTCCTGGCTCCAGCTCTGCTCCTGGCATTCCCTGTGTCCGTGCACCAGCAGGGACTCGGGGTTTGGTGCTGTGTCTGAGTCAATGAGTCCCCAGGGAAGCTCTCTTGGACATGAAAACAGCTGGTGACTCAGGGATTGTTTGTAATAACGTGAAATGCTGGATCTCCTTCTTGGGGGCACATTATACTTCATCTGCATCAGCTTAAGAAACAGTCTGAAACCTTGAAATATCCTGAGACTCCCAAAGGATTTCCCTCCAGGGAAATCTAATCTTTCTCATTTCCATTGCCCTGTTGAATCTGGTAATTCTGTGCCGTGGAGCACCCTTGGGAATAACGCCAGCGTGCCCATCCCCTGCCCCCGTCACACAGCCCAGGACGCCGACGGAGAGCTGAACTATAATCCCTTTCTCTCTATTTTTCACAAAGCTCATTACGTGGGAGCAGCACCTTCGCCTGGGGGAGGCTCTTCTGCTCATTTGTTACTCGAAGCAGTCATTTTTCCTGGTCAGGCCGGTGCTGCTGCTCCCGAAGTGCCCGTGGCAGCTCCTCGTGCCCGGCTCCTTCCTCTGCCTCCCCTGGGGCACAGCGGTGCCTGCGAGGGGCTCCCAAGTCAGCCCAGGACGAGGACGGTGCATCAGAGCAGCGCCCCGGGCTGGCTCTGAGGCTGTGGGCAGCAAATTTCCATCTGCAGACTCCAGTCGGGAAGTCAATAAAAGTTAATTCTGGAAGGAGCCTTCCATTAGGCATGGAGATGCTGTCATTAGCAGGTCTCCCCGTCACAAAGTGAAAATCTCTTTAATGATATGAGGGCTGTGACTGCTGGCAGGGCCTCAGGTGTGCTCTGGTGTAAAACCAAGAGCTGGTTTTAATAAAAATTTCGAATTTTGGAAAGGAAAAAAAGCTGCTGTGAAGGACACACAAATCCAGAAAAAATCAAGAGTGAAGTTACTGTTTTCCTTTACAAAAGCTGTAGAAATTCTAATCACCTTTGGTATGGTCTGAAGTTCCAAAAGTAAGGAAGAAATGTCAACATTTCTGCTTAGTTTCCAGTAATTGAAAAAACCCCAAAACTCTCCACTCATTATGTGTTTTTTTCTCCTCATTTAAAAAAAATCATAAAATCATGTAATCACAGGATGGTTTGGGTGGGGAGGGACCTTAAAGCTCATCTCATTCCACCCCCTGCCATGGGCAGGGACACCTTCCACTAGACCAGGTTGCTACAAGTCCTGTCCAACCTGGCCCTGAAAAATGAAGGACCATATAATTATCGATTAAATGGAATTAAATGTTTGCTCAGCTCTACTTTTATAATTCTTGGATGGAAAACAGACCGATTGTGGCTGGGCTGCAGCTGATCCCGAGCCCAGCTCCAGGCAGGGCCTGGCCACCCCTGTGTGTGTCAGGGCACCCTGGCACCGGCTTCGCTTCCTAATGACGGCGCTAACGAAGGATGGGCACCCACAGAACCAGCCCACGGTGCAGGAGCGCTGGGTTTGCAGTGGCAAGATAAAATCGAGCCTAATGAACTCACCCAAACGGCAGAAGCAATATTTGTGAGCCAGGCTGCAGCTAACACATCCTTTGTGCCACGTGTCCAGGTGACCTGGATGCCAAACCCACAGCTGAACCACACGTGGGTGAGAGCCAGCCAATATTAGCATGGCTTTATTAATGTTATTAATAAAATGAAAGATTCAGATGACAAAACATTTTAATTATTTCCCTTCTTCCTCAATTCATCATTCCAGGACTAAAAAATAGGTTTAATATATATTTTTTAGAAGTTTTTTTTGTCTTTTCTAAATGTAACACCCAGATTGTATTTGGAGTGTTTCCATGGGGCTGGTTGGAACTGGGTCAGACCTCTACAGAGTCAGGCATCTGCTGAAATTCTGCATGTTACTGTTTCAGAAATCTTATCCTGTGTGGTGGTGAATACTCACAGTGAACTGCAATGTTTGGTGTTCAGGAAATATCCTCTTCTCTTCTATTTTGGATAAATATTTGACTATTATGTCTACCCTATAAAGCAGCAAAACAAACAGATCTCCCTCTGCAAGGGGATGTTTTGATGGAGGTAGGAGAAGGGGCAAATCATCCTTGGTACATTCCAGTGCGATATTCCTCTGTGTTCTCCAAGAGCATTTTGAGGGGCTCACTCAACCCAGGGCCACACGGGATAGGACAGACCCTCACTGCACTGTCCAGAATGGTCTCCTGGCCCTGGTCCCAGGG